TATCCAAGAGAGACTGTGGTATATTTTAAACCTGTTGGGCCAATGAGAAAAGAACCACGCTGGAGACCACGGTGAACTTGTGGCTGAACCTCACTCACCCCTGGGACTCCAGCTTCAAGAATGCGTTTCCGGAAATGCCCGGCCTTTGTTCCTCCATAAATGTGTCCTTTAGTTTCAAACAGATCTTTATAGTTTGTGCTTCACAAGCCAATTCTTATTATTATTTTGGGGGACTCTTCTTCATAGAGCTTGCCAATGAAGATTTAAAGACAGAGCGGGAGCTTCTTCCAGGAGTTCTAAGCCTTGGCTGTGAACAAAACAATCTTAAGTTGGGCAGCCCTCCTCAACGCGAACAAGTTACGAATGCTCATGGCACCACGACTAGGACTTTATCAGAAACTCAAAGCTTGGGGGATTAAAAAAAAAAAAAAGGAGCAAGAGAATACTGTAACAAACTTCGTACAGAGTTCGGTCTATTAATTGTTTCATGTTAGATATTCTATGTGTTTACCTCAATTGAAAAAAAAAAGAATGTTTTTGCTAGTATCAGATCTGCTGTGGAATTGGTATTGTATGTCCATGAATTCTTTTCTCAGCACGTGTTCCTCACTAGAAGAAAATGCTGTTACCTTTAAGCTTTGTCAAATTTACATTAAAATACTTGTATGAGGACTGTGACGTTATGTTAAAAAAAGGTGTTAAGTCACAAAATGCGGTAATAAATATTTCATTTTTGATTTTTTGTTAGGCTTTTGTGTTTTTAATAGTTTTAAGGCAAGGTTGACACAAGCCCTACTATAGATGGTGTTCAAATTAGGTGATGATTTTATCCCCAGAAGTTGAGTATATTTGAAACTTAACTTACCAACAGTTTTTAAGGTACCCATCGGTAGCCTTTCAGTGTATAGTTGGCCTAAAAATTCTCCCAGCAGAAAACTTCTAAAGGTATGAAATTTGTGTGTGTGTGTGTGTGTGTGTGTGTGTGTGTGTGTGTATGTGTGTATGAGCCAGGTTGAAAGGTCACCTTCAATGCGTCCAAGCCTTTTTAGGTGCATGATGTTAAAAAAAAAAGTACTTTTAGATAAAGTTTTGCATGTTCATCCTTTGCCAGAATAAAGGGCTTTTGCAGGGTTAATTTTACATCATAAGAAATAACTAAAGTCTGTGCGCAAAGATAATTCATCTGCCTGTGTTTTTTCTGTCTTACTAAAATACTGTTGAATATGTAAATTAAAATTTACATATAGATGCTCATAGATAAGTAAACTTCTATGGAGTTTGAAATCTCGAGTTGAAAAGATTACCTAATCATTAATGTTTAATATAAATTATATTTTGATGTCTTTTTATTCCAGACACCTCCATGTGCAGGCATGCTATTGTGGTGATTTGGTGACTAAACATTTTTTTTTTCTAAAACAACAACAGAACAAGCACTCTAATGCCATTTTCGGAATCTCATGCAACATTCCTGGAAACCCTTAGTGATACTGCACACAATGCCTGCCAAAGTGTGCAAAGTGAATAAAAGTGTGAAGTATTTGCATGCCCCCTCAATTTTTCAAACAAATATACTATCCTGGAATTTTGGCACACCTAAATTTTGAATCCTATGTTTATCAGGGATAATACAGACTTGACCTAGTTGTCTGATGTCAGCTTGCTAGGGAAAGAGTTCACTATCTCAGAAATCCGAGTTTGTATCTTATTTGGGGTTCTTCCGTCTTCCCACTGCAGAAGATGTTAATAGAAGTTGTATATTATACAAAGGAACAAGGAAATACACTTCTATTGTTTTGTATCATTTTTAGTTAGGTAGAATTTTTATAAATGCATTTATCACTTGAATGTGGTGCTGCTTAAACATAGAAATAACACTTCTGATACAAACTAACTATTAATGGGGAAATTCTGCACCACTTGGAAAAGAGATGGTCTCTCTCTTATTTTTGTTATCCCATTTCACATGGAGTCTCTGCAAAATTTAAATATTTGTATATTTTTACTTTAGATGCTTTTAAGTAAATTTTGACAAGTTCTCCATTTATAAATTAACTCTCACATCAGCAGAACAGTTTTTTTGGCAAAGTTTTTCTTCCTTTCCTCTCAGTAAAGTAAATACTGAAGGGTTTACTTGCTAATTGGCTCATGTTTAGGAAGTGTTTAATGCAATTATTATTAATCTATTTCATCAAAGTTTTGATCTCAGAGCTCTCTACCCTTGGTTTTAATGAATAAAATAACCTCGGGCTTAGTTTCCTCAACAAACCCACATCCTATCATGTTAACTTTAACCTTCTTAAATATTTGGAGATGAATAATAATTGTAATAATATTTGCTTCCATTTCCTTGCCCTCCTCCCCCATATGCCAAGACTGAGAGGTGGTAGAGTTGTCCAATTTGTGTAATGCCTTTTTTATACCACCTCGGAAGGCACTTCCTCCTATCTCGGGTTTACTATTTAGTATAAAGAGTTCCGATTTGGGTATATTTAAGAAAGACTCAGCTGTCAAAAGCAAAGAAACTGGGAATGGTGTTTTGACAACCATATAGTGTTAAAGGAAATACTGTAGTCTGAATAAAATTGCTTATGTTCTCCAAAACAAGAGTAATATAAAAACACTTTTTATTTATATGGAAAAGCAAAAGCAGAAATAAATTCCAAAGGTTTCCCTTTCTTTAAGAAATTCTGAGAGAACTGCAGTCGCCATCTGTTAAGGGTTGGGAATTGAGCAAGAAGCCACATTTTAAAGGAAAAAAGAGAGGAAAAGACCAGAAAAGTCTGTGTCTTCCATCCACCCGTGCTCCCCCTCACCCTCCAAGTCAGCGCCCCCCACTCTCGCTAACTCACCCTAGTTAGATTTGCCCAGAAGAGTCCATCAGGATCCTCCTGGCCTCCTTGCCCCCTCCCGCCCCCCGTGGGCCCGTTAACCCGGAGCAGATTTGGGAAGGGAAATATGGCTAATATCTCTAGCAGCTGTCAGAAGAGGGACCTTCCTTCAAAGGGACTGGACAGGGATCTTCCACAAGTTCCCCATTAGTCTTGCAGGCCAGCAATTTGATAAGGAGCTGGGACCTCCGCTGCACGTTGCCACTGTGTTAGAAAGGCCGGTGTCTGGGTGTCTGGACGTGCCCAGTGGCCCTCGCTTCGCAGCCACTGTCCCCGCCGCCCACTGAGCAGAGTTGGTGCGGACGTGCGTCCCGGAGCCTGGGAAGAGGCAGGGGCGTGCAGGATCTCCCCCTCAGCGTGGGCGCCCCAGCCCTCATCCGGCCTCCCTTTGGGCGCGCGCGTGTGCGTGTGCGTGTGTGCGCGCGCGCGTGTGTGTGTGTGTGTGCATGAAACAGAGGTAGACAGACGTGCTTCAAATTGATGGGGGTGGGATAGCGGGGCACCTAACAGTTGCAGTAATCAACTAAGGGCGTCGCACGCGGTCGTCGAGCTCCCTCGGTCTTGGCTGGGGCGGGAGATAGCCGCGGCGCAGGGGACATGCGGGTCTGATGGGGGAGGCCGGTCAGATTGTGATGAGAATGGAGACCGTCGGGGCAGTGTTTGAAGGGAGGTTTTAATATTAATAGTTTCGGTGTAGAGACAGAAGGGAGATTGCGTCTAGGGCTCCTCGGGGCAGACTCTGGGTGACAGCGATGATGGATGACCCAGCAGAGCCCAACAGCTCCTCCCCTCCAGCCCCAACAGTGTCAAAGCTACTTTAGTTGAAGCTTTAGAAATAAAATAAACAGCATCACCCCCCCCACACACACACACAGACACACACACACTCTTCATACACCTCCATCGCTCCCCCCCTCCCGCTTTCCGACATCGATTTATGGATCATTATGAATCAATTACTACTCTCAATACTTTCCCATTGGCTTAAATAAAACACTCAAAAGATGAAAACGTGGGGTTCGGTGGGGATTTTTTTTTTTACCCTGACAGGAACAATCGCAAAATCCATTATCTCATAATCAGAGGCACTGGGTTAGGAGGTGAAGAGAAAGGAAGGGGTCGCCCAGTAAATAACTGGGGGGAACGCTGCGGGGGCGGGGGGGAGTCGCCCAGCTGCTATCTTTGTTCGGATGGGTTTGGTTTGTTGTTGGTTTGGGGTGTTTTGAGCGGGGGCGGGGGGGGGACCCGCGTGAGAATGAGATGCCTACAGGTTTTGTAACGTCATCATTGCACTCCTTGGGAGAAAACCTATTTGAATGCGTGTCTCGGCAAACCTCAGATGTTGGTGGTGGTGAGGTCGCACATGGGAAAAGGTGTGGAGGAATGGGTCCGTCTGGAGGGCGGATTTTCACTTTGTTGTGAGCAACTGTGCGAGGGTCTGCTGTTGGGAAGGGGGATTCTCCCTCCCGCAACGCCCACCGCGCTCCCCGCCGTTGGCTGTTGTTGTCGTTGGAACTGGTTTGGATCTGGGACCGGCCGCCCCCTTTCGCCCCCACCCCCACCTCGGCCGCCCCAGGCTGTTTCCCTCTCCGGCCCCTTCCGCGGCGGTGCTCGAGGTTCTCTAGGTGTTTCTATGACTACATTGTGTGTGGGGGAGGGTCAGATGTGGGGGTTGCCCGCGAGAGGGCCGTTCCTGGGCGATCATTTATCAATGTCACCCACATAATGATTCTCTCTGCAGCCTCCTATTGATGAGGATAATTACATTAGCTCAGAGTGACTGATCAATGAAAAACCACCACACAAAAACTTCTTTACTCCTCTATAATACCAAAAACCGATACAGAAATAACATAGAAAGCCTGATTTTTCTTTCCCTTCCCTGTCCACCGATGGATTCTGCGCCCCCTCCCCCCCCAAAAGAATAGGGGAGTAAAATAAGAAAATAGACCCAGGTTTGTTTCGTTTCAAGGAGGATGCAATTTTGCCCGTGAATGCATTTTGTTAAATGTGTTGGCTTCATTCCTCCTTTGGTAAAGAATATCAACGGATTTACTAATGTGAGTTGCTTTTAGACTGGTCTGTGGTTTTCCGTTCTTTTTATTCCTTTCCTCCCCTTTGGGCATTTTTTTTTCCTGCTTCAAAAAAAGAGACAATTCTTGTATAAATAACTAGAAAGGGAAATTATTCTAGGTCTTCTTTTTCTTTTTTTTTTCAAGCGTTTGCCTAAGTCGGGTTATCTTTTGTCTTTATCACTTCATAAAGTAGCGCAATTAAAAGATGTGATGTCTCATGGTTATAAAGGGTGAATCCATAGTACCGCGACATAATACGCTCTATTCTCGCCTGAAAGTTCGCAGTTAAATTACGATTTCGCTTTTTCTAGACTTCAAAATCAATATTTTCTCAATTAAAGAGAATTTTAATGCTTTACTTGAGAGTTGTTAAAGGCACTGTAAATTTTATTGTACTTTCGGAGTAGATGCAGGAGACCGGTTGGTTCTCGGGCTTTTTCCCTTCCCAGGAATATCCAGTGTGTCAGATCAAATGCAGTCAACAAAGGTAAGGAGGGTTCCTCGAGGGATGGGGCAGAGGGTGGGGAGCCCAACAGGGAGCCCCTCCAGTGCCAGAGGCTATTGTCTTGTATATTTTCACCTCTCTGTGTCCCGCCTCCTGAAAGTGACAGAAGTGTCCATTTTACTCTAATATTTCTCAAAGAGGAGCACGTTCCACTCCCATCTGCTCTGTGGCGGTCAAGAAAGAAGCTGCATTTGGGCAGCCTTCTTCTAGACCCTTTCCAATGCTTCCCACCCTCTCTCTCTCTCTCTCTTTCCTGATTTCTCCAAAATTTAACTCGTAACTGGCTCTTTCACAAATTCTGCCATATTTTATACGTGTTCTGACCTCTATGTCAGAACCCCTTCCCCACCCTCAAGAGCACTCACTGTTTACAGATGTTTTCTCCTTCCACGCGTCCAACCTAGTAAAAGTTCCCGCAGAGAATTAACTATGGTGTGTTAATAGCCCAGGTCTGCTACTGCTCCCTTCTGCAAAGTTGAAATCTGGTGAGGTGGAGAATGGCATTGAAGAGCTGCTCCAGGCCCAGGGGGCTTGGTGGGAAGCAAGGTAGTAGTGAAACTTTCAGAATGTAAGACAGAGAGGAGGCTGAGAAAATGAGGCTAGAATGGAACCTAATAAGAGAAGAATAGGGCTAGGCAGAAAAATGAGCCTTTGGGACCTCTTTGTAATTTAAAAAGAAATAATAATGAAGGGGAATTGAATATCTAAGACTTGCTATTAATTTTTTTTTTTTACCCAGTGTCTGTTTAAGAACAAGTCCTTAGAGATGCCAGGAAGGACCTGAGTTTCCACACGGAACTACACACCCACTAAGTTCCTTTGCAGTTCCCTCTTAGTTAATTTGCTGGGAATGAGAAGACCCGGGAAAAGGCTATGTGTGTGGTGTACCAAGGACTTAAGTAAGAGTCCGGTGGGAAGGGGCACCTAGGTATAATGAGGTTGCTCTGTTTTAAGCTGAATGGGGGGCGGGGGAGGGAGAAAGCCACACAACACCACAATGCACTTTAAAGTAAGTCTCACCTACCTGCCTTGCATTTCACTTTAGCCACACACTCTCTCAAATATTATACATAACATAGGTCGGGGAATTTCTAGTTCATCATCTTTTGTCTGTAGACCCACCAGATTGATCACCGCCCCCCCTTTTCCCTTAGATTCCTGACATGTAAGCCTAGACCATGGCCTTTTTATCAAGTGAGTGGGGCTTTGTTAATGTATTTGTACTTTTCTGCTTTCAGTCTAAGTTTCTCGCTTTGGAGGAACGAGGGGTGCAAGAAAGGAGGGGAGGGGAGCAGAACACAAAGACTAGTTCTCACCAAGCAGGTTTTAAAATAGGAACTTAATGGGAAGAAAGAAAGAAAGAAAAAAACCCAAAAGAATGGGAAAAAAAAGAGGGTGGTGAGAATTGTTTGTCACAACAGGTTTACTTGTCTGGAAGAGAGGTGATTCTGTGAATATTTTTCCCTTTGAGGATTCTGTGTTCTTCATATTGAAACATTTTCAAATTTTAATCCTTTAGCAGACACAACCTCAATATAAATATGGCTTGGGCCACTGGCAAAAACAGGAACTTAAACTCTGCTAAGAAGGAGGGGGTGCGGGGAGTAGAGAGAGCCCTTTCTGATTAATAACTAGCAGGGTAATGTTGAGGGCTTTTTCTGCCCGATTGCCTTTTTGAATTAGAGCCGATTTCTTCACACTTCAATAGTGCCTGTCTCCTTTAAAATGACTGGCAGATTTGTTTCTCTTTTTTCTCTCCCTGAGACTTAATGATGTAAATTTTCTAATTAGTTAAATCATATTGCTTAAAGGCCTAATATTTACCGTGTAAGAAATGATCATCCTGATTTGGACCTCTTGAAATATTCTGAGAAATAACACTTGGCTTTTAGGTTGAGGGATGAGAGAGGAGGAACCTCTATTACGGGAAAAGCTGTTTAGAGGAAAGAAGGCGCGGACCGGGCAACATGTTTAAATTAATAGTTGAAGTTGAGCCGGGCTCACACCCCAAGTCCGCTTTTATTTTTCAATCAGCGAAGATTTAATTGGCAGCCCTCAGGCCTGGAGATCTGATATTTTCTCATTAGTTTCCCATCACTAATCTTGAGTGTTAGATTGGCTTAAAGGTTGTCAACATTTGACCAATTTTATTTAAGGAAAAAAAAATCACTGCATTATGGCTCCGGGATGTGAGATCTGCAAATAATCCTGCTTGGATCAGCGGAACTAACGGGCGAAAAAAATGTTGACTGTTCATCGTCGCATTTAATAAGTTGCATAAATGTATATTTCAAGGCTATGGAGAGAGATTATCCATGTGCTGCATAGATGCAGATGAAAAGAGGTTGATGAGGAGGGGGTTGCACTATAAGGGTAGGCAGGTAAAGTGAGACGTAGGTACATTTCAAACCGAGGGTAAATAACCCAAGTGGAATAGCTGTTTAGGAGCTATAATTTCCCCCTCCCCTTCCTTTTGCAGCTGCGTGAAACTGCAAAGCCTGTCTTGCAGCTCTGAGCCGCTCGGCTGTCTGGTCCAGAGATAACATCAGAGCGCCCCCTGCTGGCCAGTGGAGCAGAACGCTGAGGGTCAGCCCCCCGCGAAGCAAATCGTGTTTTTCTGCGTCCCCGCCCCCCTTTACCGACTCCCTCCACTGCCCCCACCACTATTCTGCAACAAAACCCCGTGGCAGGGGAATAGCTTGTCAAAGCTGAACATTTAAATGAGCAAATGATAAAAATAATAATAAAATACGAAGGAACTCCCCTGCCCCCCACCACACACACACCTTCACTTGGCCTCAGAGGAATAAACTGTCAACTGACTAGGAAAGGGACACATTTTCTTTTTCCAAATCTCTTTATTCTCTGGGTTTTTACTGTGGTTTGTTTGTTTGTTTGTTTCTGCCCAACTGTAGGTTCCGATTACAAGGAAATGTTTTTAATAGATGCTGTAATTTTTTTTAAAATGGGTATCTTGATGGGGAAGGAGGCCAATACAAAACAACACACTGCGGCGTCTCAAAATTAAAACTCCCAGGGAACTCGCACAATTTCAGTCAAGTCCCGAGGAGTCGCTTTTGGAATTCAGATAGTTCCTTGTCTTGAATGACCCTTTCCTGCACCGCAAAGAAATACCGGCCCCTGTCCGATTTTTTTTTTCAAAATAGAGAACATATTGAAAAGTTGTACACACACACACACACACACACACACACACACACACCTCCCCCCCGCATGTTCCTGTGCTTTTTCTTCTCCCGTGCTGCTCAATTTTGCTGGAAACGGAAAGGCTAGCTGAACGTGCACCAAAATCAACCGCCAATGTCTTTGACACTGATCTTACTCTGGTCCTTCACGTCCAACGCAAGGTGTGGGGTGGGGACAATCCGAGAAGGTTTGGGTTGATTTTCAACCGTTTCGATGCACAGAGGCGCTTTCTCGGCTTTCCCCATTGCCTCTTCCCGGGATTTCTGACCACCCTAACGCGAGGGCGCCCAGGTAACGAGAGCCGGGGCCATCTCCGGCTGGCGGACCCGCCGACAACACCGCCAAGCCTCTACTCTTGGGAAAGGCGCTGCAAGAGCACCCCGGACTCGGAAAAGTCTTCTGAGCACAGCTAGACCCCACGTAAAGAGTGAAAATCTGCAAGGAGGAACTACTTTACATTGTGGAGAGTTTGGGAGTTTGCCTTTTTAAGTACCCGATTGAAGAATTTTTTTGTGAAAACAGCTCTCAGAAATGAGGCGCGGGGGAAGGAACACGGGGCGGGAAGGACTGCAGGGGAAAGGTGGGTGTCTTGACGTTCATTTCTTGCCAGAGTCCCAAGGACCTTCTGGTTTAAAAACCCGTTCTCTTCCCTCGTTTCTCCCTAGAACCCCACCCCCACCTTGCACCACTCCTCCAACCCTCCTGGACCAGGACGGGAGCCCGGGGGCTTCAGGGAACAGCTCTCCCAGGGCAAGGCAGAGGCAGCCTGGGTCTTCACGCCAGGGAAGTGATGTCTCAGTCGGGCTGTGTCTGAAGAATTGCTGGGCTATTGTGTCAACTGAGGTAAAGTTAAATATTTATACTCCAAGTTGTTCTCATTGCCTTTTGGTCTGTTTTGAATAAGTTCAGTGCGTTCAAACTTCCTTTAAACAAAAACCCTGGTCTGGGCGAAACAGAATCTGCCTCCTGCCACTGGAGTTGATTTTTTGAGAGGTCTTCCTTAGGCTCGGAAGTGGAGGGGAAGTTATCTACAAAAAATACCGGTCAATTTAAATATATGTGTATATATATATAATGTGTATACATACAAAACACCTATTTCATACATCTATATCTACCTATAGTAAGGAAAAGGAAGCACGTGTCCCCTGTTGCAACTGAATCCAAATAAAATATTTACAGTAAGATACTCTCATAGATGAAGAAAATATGAAAATCTCATTGTATTTGTCTCCGTTTGACTTAATGAAATTTGGAGACATTGACAGTCTGGTCAATGTTCTGAGTAAATGAATGCAGAGGTCCTTAGGAAGGGACCAAAGACACCTCTTGCCATTAATCTTAAAGCACTTGAAGAGAATGATTAAAAGAATGGGATCGCTAAGCATTATCATCTCAAATAGCTGTTAACTGTCTCCACCCCTTTATTGTGGCAACAAAATAAACTCTTCCCTAGGAATAGTGTTTCTTCCTTTTTTTTTTCTTAATCTTTGTTTTTGTTTTGCTTTAAGGGCAAAGAAGGAAAAACAGAAGCAAAGAGAACCATCTCAAAAGTCTTGTATTTGCTGCTGTTAAAAAAGGCTGCTGTTCATTTCTTATTTCCCCATCTTGCACTACAAAGGAAACAAAATCAAATGAGGTGTCTACATTTGACGGGATGAAAACACTAGCAACAGTGAAGGTGCATTTGTTTTATTTTTTCCCCTGAAAAGAATATATTTTTTAAATATACACCAATTTAGTGAGTTGAAAGCTGTGGACTTGTAAAAGATGTTCGCTGGTCCAGGTCTCTTTGCTGACTTTTGTCACTTGAATTCGGTAGGCTTTTGTGTCAAGTAGAAATTATGGAAAAGAGAAGTAGACACTTGCCAAGGAACAAAACAATATTACACTCTCAAGCTGGCTCCACCTAATTCTGTATTTGAGTGCTGGCTGTGTGTGTGTGTGTGTGTGTGTGTGTGTGTGTGTGTGTGTGTGTGTGTGATTTTCCTCTAATAAACCTCAAAG